GACACTGAATCTTCTCAGTTGAGCTTAGGTATGGGAGGAGGAGTCCCTAGACTTCTGGGATGGCATCCAGGGGCTGTGTGACAGAATGTGTGAGGCCCTTGTAGTATGGCGCTGTGCACTCGGGGAAAGAAAGCAATGGGACGAATGGAGGTCAGGACAGAGGGGGAAGAGGCAGGGCACAACAAAGTAAAGCAAACAGAAGTTTCCCACCGGGAACTGAGTAAGCAGTGGGTTCACATAGAGAGAATGCCAGCACTATGGCTGGGGGACATGAGGCAGATGAAGTCTGCGGACTCAGAGCTGGGTTTGCTATGTTCTTGCGCATCAAGGCAATTTTTTCAGCGTCTTGATTTCTAGTTAGGTTAATTTATTTCTTGTAGTCTGTGGATTTTCTACTTATAAATAAAACACGCAATCAAAATTCATGGTCTACTTCAAAAGAGCCACATAACCACACTATGAATAGGAATAATTAGTTGTTAGCTTTAGGAATAAAATATAGTTCCCCTTGAGGGAGAAACCTGGGAATAAAGACATTTTCTAGACATGGTTATGCACACCACCCAAGAGCCTTTTTTTACCAAATATTGTAGGGTAGGTGTCCATCAGGGGTCTGGTGGTCATTTCTTAGAACTCAAATGAGGATATTCAAAAGGCATAGGAGACTGGCTTTCACTTTTTATACCTGTGGTGACATAAGAGGATCACAGTGACATACTAATCATCCAGTTTTTAAAGTTGAGTTGTGATGGAAATTTTATTTGCAAAAACAAGGCTCAGAAAATAGTCTGAGCAAACAAGCATGTGTTTCCGTCCTCCCAGGTCTCAGCTCTTACAACAATGCAAAATAGTGGACATTTTCATGCACTCTTTTGAATGCATATACTAGTATACAGTTCTACCAACAATTTTAATTGCCTTCATTTTATTCATTTTACCAGATATACTAACTTAACTGACTACTTTAGGATTTTCTAGTGTTAATTTCTTAGTTCAGCCTTCTGGGAGAGATGTGGTAAAGTGGTTGAGCAATGAGAAACATGAGAAAAAAAGGAGCAAAGGAATTTATTTCTGGGTTTGGTATCACATATGTTGGCATTTGCTATGTAACAAACCACCCCAAAGCTTAGTAGCTTAAATTCACAGCCATGCATTTATCCAATGGTCCTGCAGAGAGGCAATTTGAGCAGAGTTCAGCAAGGTGGCTCCTCAGATGCCACTGGGCTCCCCCATCTGTCCTTGGTCCGCTGTCCAATCAGCCATGACCCGTCTGCCCTGAGAGGGCCTCAGCTGGGCGGCTTGTTCCTGCTCCCCATGGCTTCTCCTCTTGCGCAGGGCTAGCCCATGTTTGTTCTCATGATGGTGGCAGAGTTCAGAGTGAGAGTGGGGACACAGAGGCTTCTTGAAACCTTGGCTCCACGCCTCTGCTAGATTGTGTTCGTTAAAGCCAGACACATGGCCAGCTCGATTCAACAAGGGGAGAAGCTGCAAAGTCTCATGCAGGTGGGTGTGGGTGCAGGGACGGAAAAAATTGTGGTCCTTTCTGCAAACAAACTCACATACCTATGATTAGCAATTTGTAAAGAAAATTTTAAAAAGTAATTGGCATAAAAGGGACAAGATATTTAAGGACTTGAGCCTAACTGAAGTTATACAGAAACACTCCTAGAAATAAGGGTTCTTACCTGACATGCACAAGGTGATATGACTCCTGGTCAGATCACTGACTCCTAGTCAGATTACTATTAAAAACAGCCCACTCCAGCTGTGCAGGTAAAGGTGTGTGTGCTGCTGGTATGCAGAGAAAAGTGCAGTGTTTGAAATGACTCTTTCAATGCGCTCTGTGCTTTTGCTTCACCTTTTCCAGATCTGAGGAGAGAAGGGTCACTTTCTCCGGTGAACTCACAAAAAATCACCTTGCTGCTGCAGTCGCCTGCGGTCAAGTTTATCACCAATCCCGAGTTCTTCACTGTACTGCATGCCAATTATGTGAGTGCTCCAGAAATGCAGAGTGGGCCTGGCCTGGCTTCCATCAAGACAAAAAGCGCAACTTTGCCAAGTTGTTTGATACTGAACGAGGGTAGAATTTTCTTGCCTGAAAGAGAGTAGAATTTTAGCCCAGGCGAGAATAAAGAAAACAGCTCAGTCCACTCTTTTCATTCTGTGCGTTTTCCAAAAAGGGAAAGAGCTGGATGGGGAAATGCTGTTTACCCTTCAGGTTTTTGTCAGTGTCAGTGTGTTCGTGTCAGTGAAAGTGCTTTGGTAGAAGTGTGGGAGAAAGACTGGGGGACTAAGACTGGAGACTGATTCAACCATTCTAGTGAGAGATGACGAAGGCCAGCTAAGTCAGGGGCCGGCCTCATGGAAAGGAATGACTCATTTCAGGAGACATTTCTGGGTGGAATCAGTAACAGGGCTTTGGACCACTGTGATTGAGGGGGATGGGATATGAGGACTCAGGAAAGTCTGAGTCCTTTTTGCTTTGAGCACCTGAGTTAGGTGGTGACTCCATTAGGCGGGTCCGGTAGTTGAATGAGATGACAAAGTTTGTGTCATGGAAGGAGGAGAGCAGGTTTTAGCAGGTTATATTTGAGAAGCTGCTGGGACATTCAGTGGTTAGAGCCAGAGCAGCTGCCCTGTGGTGCAGGCATGAATGCTGAAGGGGACAAGGATGCCAGATCCTGGGCACCAGGGGACTTGGGCCAGCAGGAGCTATACCGTGCCTGCTTGCTCCAGCTTTCCTGTTATCACATGCACACATCATCCCCGTGAGCCATAAAACTGTCATTTGCACAATGAGAAATTCCTGAAACTTTTTTTGTTTTTCTCATCCCCTACCCCTCACGTACAAACATTTCTACAGAGGAATCAAAGGAGTGATGGACCCTGAAGTCCTGCCTTAAATCCCAGGAACCTTAAATGAATATACTCTTTGTTGTAGACGCTAAAGGAGCACAGGCAGACCTATGCAGTCAGAGAGGATCCATGGAGGAGAGAGAGGAAAGAGACTCGAAGAGGTCAAGAAAGATTCAAAAAAGGAGGGGAGCCTTTGAGATGCACAGGGAGGTCGACTGTGTCCCAGGCTGTGGAGCAGCAGGTAGAGTAGGGATCACCAACAGGGCCATGTGTGTTTACAGCTGCTCATTTAATTTTTTAGCAAGATTTCTGCTTCTGAGGCTGCCTCCTCGAGGCTCACAATAAATAACTGTTTAGAAATCACATTATATCACATTAAGGTTCTCAAACTGTGCTTGATCTGTGTTTTTTCTAATCCTCCACTCCCTATCTCAACTGGCTCTGACCCCATCTCAGAATGCTTACCGCGTGTTCACCAGTAGCACCTGCTTAAAGCACATGATTCTGAAAGTCCGGCGGGATGCACGCAATTTTGAACGCTACCAGCATAACCGGGACTTGGTGAATTTCATCAACATGTTTGCAGACACACGTCTGGAATTGCCTCGGGGCTGGGAGATCAAAACAGACCAGCAGGGAAAGGTGAGTGTGACTGTGTGGCCCTTTCATCCTGGGGGCCCTTTCCTTGAAAGGAAAGACACTGTGAAAGTGAGGAGGGGGGTTGATGAGGGGAGGAGAGCCTATGAGCCTGGGATGTGCCATTGGCTCCCAGGAGGCAGGGCGGAGGAACTGTCCACAGCAGGCTTTCTGTCCTGTGCACTGGAGTGTGTTTAGCAGCATCCCTGACTTCTGCCCACTGAGCACCCCCACCAAGTTTGGACCTTACTATATATACCCCCTGGGGAGCAAAATCACCCCCATTTGAGAACTACTGTCTACATCTCTTTACATTTAGGTTTGGAATTCGAAACCAGATTCTGTTCAATGACCTTCCACTGTTTGCCTCCTTAGACAGCTAACTCCCAGAGAACAAAATTATTCGTTAAATGGGAGTGACATTATTAGATTACTCACGGTGATTTCCCTAGTAAGCCTTCAGTTCTCCTTAAAGCTGCCTGGCAAACAGTGATGGGGCACATTGAGTTTGTGCCATGTTAACTGGCTTGCATTTTGCCTTTGTGTGACCTTAACCAAAACTGGTCCTTCCCAGCAATGCTTTAGACGCTTAATTGGGTTTGCTTAATCATCATCATTCATCTCAATGTATTTACAAGACAGGCCAACGTTTACTAAAGAACTGTCCCTGTGTAATCTTTTGTGAACTTTGTTGGAGAGAACCCCTCCCTCTTTTAGGGTCAAAGGAATCAGAAGCTTCTACCAGCAGACATGAATTACTCCATTTTTTCCCTTTGCGATTGTGAACCTGCAAAGCCATAGTTCCCCGGAGTGAGTTGATGTCCCCAGAGTGGTACTGTCATAAAAACAATACCACTGGGAGCTATAAACTCTTTCCCACAAACCGCTTAGCATTCCTCAGCACCTGAACTCTCTAGATCGTGTGAGAAAAGACTGTGTCCACTAATGCAAGTCCATGAGTACAAGGAAGCTCTATTACCAGCTCCTCTGTAGTCAGGGATTAAATGGGGGTGGGGGGATTCCTTGTGCAGCAGAAAAGCCACCGTAGCCACAATCTGCTCCCCAAGATCTCCTCATTTACTGGATGTGGCCTCCACTGGGAGAATGACAGTGATTTATATACTATGAGGACTTGCTGGGATGTGTTAGGGTGGGAAATGAAGCCTGAGCCGGAACAGAAAGTAAAGGATCGGTGCTGGGGTGCACCTGCCTATCTCAGAGGTCTGCGGTGGTGGCCATGATTGCATTTATTGTTTAACCAAGATGCCAAGGGACACCACTGTAAGTCAGTGAACAGAAAGGCAGTGTTTATTATGCAAGAGCACACACTTATGCAAGCCCCCTATCCTTGGATTTTCAAGAATGAAGCTCTCATATCAGGAAACAAACAGCAGAGGCCCAGGGAATGCAGAGAGGCCCCAGATGCAGTCAACCCTGGTCCTCCATGATACACACACTGCCTCCTACTCATCACTATAGCAGAAAGCAAAGCAGCTGAGACATGTACCTAGAGACTGTCTTTATTCCATTGTATATTCTTGCCTCTTTTATCATATATTAATTGACTGTATAAGTGTGGGTTTATTTCTGGGCACTTTATTCTGTTCCATTGATCTATATGTCTGTTTTTATGACAGTACCATGCTTTTTTGATTTCTATAATCTTGAAATATAGCTTAATATCAGATAGCCTCTAACTTCGTTCTTCTTTCTCAAGATCGCTGTGGCTATTTGTAGTCTTTTTTTGTTATACATAAATTTTTGGGTTATTTGTTTTAGTTCTGTGAAATACTCCATTAGTATTTTTCAGAGAACTGAAAGTAATCATTATGCACCCATCAATCTGAATACTATATGCTTATTAAAATTCTATGTTAAAAGAAAATTTGATAACTTAGGGAAATGCTTATAAAATAATAGGCAAAAAGATTTACAACAAAATTATTGTTAATGTGGGGAAAAATGTATATATGTGCATATGTGTATATTTGCATAGGAAAAGAAAAAAATCTGGAAAATATTACCAAAATAGCCCAGCCAGTGTGGCTCAGTGGTTGAGCATCAACCCATGAACCAGAAGCTCATGGTTTGATTCCCAATCAGGGCACATGCCTGGGTTGTGGGCTCGGTCCCCAGTGGGAGATGTACAGGAAACAGCTGATCAGTGATTCTTTGTCATCATTGATGTTTCTATCTCTCTCTCCCCCTTCCTCTCTGAAATCAATAAAAATATATTTTTTAAATTACCAAAATATTTTAGTGATTGCCTTTAGATTGTGTTATTTGGGATGATTTAAGTTATTTTCTTTTTACTATTTTATCCTTTCAATTTTTTTATCAGTGAGACTCTACTAATTCTATATTAAAAAGCATTTTTTAAAAAGTAAAATCCTATAAAAGTTATTAATCACTAGTATTATTTATCCATCAAAAGCTCTATTTATCTTATTTTGCATATGAAATAAAGTGTTGTTATTACTACTGTATGACTTCACAGTGTAAAGTGTTAATGACTGCTATTGCTTCATTCAGCTACTGAGCAAACAGATGCACAGTGCCCAGTGTTCCATCCAATTCTGAGTAGATAAAAAAGAGAGACAGAAATAAACATGATGCCTTGGCCCGTAGCATTCCCTTACAGGGTTCACTACACTCTGGCTCATTCTCATAGCGTGCTTTTTTCACTGGTCTGTCTGCAGTCTTTTTTCGTGGACCACAACAGTCGAGCGACCACTTTCATTGACCCCCGAATCCCTCTTCAGAACGGCCGTCTTCCTAATCATCTGATGCATCGCCAGCACCTCCAGAGGCTCCGCAGTTACAGTGCTGGAGAGGTAACACCCTTCCCCTACCCTCAGCTCACAGGTCCACAGATTCTGCCTCTGATTGTGGAGCCAGAACTGTTTCTAAGTGGCTGAGATCTAGGAAAAATTAACCAGGCACAAGGAGTACCCTGTTCTCATTCCACCACGTGCTGTTCTAGTTTATATCTCTTTTATTACCTGTGCTTGCCTGCTGCTGAGCCATGAAAGGCTGCCACCTTTCGTAAGCTCACATTCATTGCCTATCTGAAATACTGTCTCTGTATCCCATAATCTTTCCTGTCCTCTTTTCCCAAACCAAAACTCAAAATATAGTCCTTTTCTACTTTCAAACAGTTTCTGAGAATATTATGAGAAAATCCATTTTTATGTCCTAACATCTTTTTATAACATCAAGAGATGAGGGCACTGAGAACAATTTGCCATAAAACAGCTTTTAAAGTTGAATTTTAGAGTGAGGCAAAAAATGAAAAAACTGTCAGAAAAAAAAGAAATATCTATTTGGCCCCCTCAGAGAGTCATTCCAGGGAGAACCACAGTGTACATACACCTCAGAAGAAACTGGAAAAATTACAGTCTCCCTAAAAGCTTCCAGATAGCAAACATAAGTCTTAAACGAAGAGCTAGTTGTTGGTGTGTCATCACTTGTTGTAATGAAAGCCTCGTGTGACTCCTACATTTCAGAGGAGTCATCTGTGGACTCTGAGAGATGCAACTATTTCCAATCAAGGGCACTCATGTTTCAGTGCCACTGTGATCAAATGAATTTTTCTTTCATGGGATCATCTTAGGTATCATTGTTTCAGGATATTACTGAAAACATACACATAAAAGGTGTGTGTGACGATGCAGAGAGGAAGTATTACACACCTGCAAGTGTTATGTGGGTGTCAAGACCCTCCAGATACCAGACACTCAGCAGGAAACAAGTTCACAGATTGTAGAAAGCAGTGCCCCAACTTCCCAGCTCAACACAGATAGCTCCCCTGTCTGGTAGCAATCGTACAATACTTCAGAAAGTATTAAGCGTGAGATGATAGTGAACAAATTCAAAACTCTGCATCAACTCGAAATATGTCATTTCAATTTATTTAAAATGTCCAAGCTCTTTAATATTTTAAGGCAATTTCAGTATTATTGTCAGGTCACTTCATGTAATAAAAAGAAACTGAGTATTGCAGACATTTCACTGTCAATAAAATATACCTCAATGTAATAACGGCTATATATGACAAACCACAGCCCACATCATACTCAATGAGCAAACACTAATGATTTTATTTTGGAATTAGGCCTCAGATGTCTGTAGAAACAGAGGAACCTCTTTAATGGCCCGGCCAGGACACAGCCTCGTAGCTGCTATTCGAAGCCAGCATCAACATGAGTCGTTGCCACTGGGTATGTAGCATGCTTTTAGAACCCCTGGATAATCAGTAATTAACCTGGCTTTTCTTATTGTGAATCCTTTAATACTGAGGATTCCATTGAGTTATTTTTCTTCCTCTTTTATGGCATAGTCTCCCCCTTTATTGTTTGCGCCCATCCTCCCCTCCCCTTCGCCTCTTTTCCCTTTCTCCTTCCTCCTCGCTTTGTCCTCTCTCATCCCTCACCTCCTTCTTCCCTCATATCTTCCAGACCCACATTTCCCTTCTTTTCTCTATTCAGTGCTTTGTTAGCCAAGTCCAGGGGAGCATAATTTAGTGAGGTCATGAATTTGTTTCTGTTAGATGCAGTTTTTAATGTAAACCTCTCTTCCCTTGTGTGTATGGGGATAAGTCGACAGAGTCTTGATTTCTAAAATCAACTGCCTCTTCTCAAAGCGCATGCCACTTGTATCAGGGGAAAGAGGTGAGAGAGCCTAAATGGATTTGGATGGTTCCATTATCACTCCTGGAAATCAACTCACGGCCACAGGTCATACGTGTCCAGTGCTCGGAAAAGGGTTTATTTGACCTCATAAAGAGTCTTGTGCTAAAATAACTATGGCAAAATGACCAAGAGAATCTATTAAGAAGAGAGTAAGACTTCGCTCGTGGGAGAACTACTTTGTATTTTATCTGTTCACACAGTAGTGAGTTAACACATCATTATGTTTCTGGAATATTAGGCTGATTAACTTGGATTGAGTTCACTTCTGGGGTGATTGTTTAAAAATAATGATGCTATTATGTCACTGGAAACACCCTCAGGAGCTTACATTTTTTGATACATTGCCACCTGCCCCTCAAACTTCTAAATTAATTCTCGCGTTAAGCAGCCATCTTCCAATCATCAGGGAAATCATCTGTGATCTGCAGACTGAAGCACAACTCTGCCCTTCTGTCGTTTCAGCATATAATGACAAGATCGTGGCGTTTCTTCGCCAGCCAAACATTTTTGAAATGCTGCAAGAGCGTCAGCCAAGCTTGGCAAGAAACCACACACTCAGGTAGGGGCTTGTCCATCCCTGTGTAACTCTAGGTCTCCTCAGCTCTCTTTCAAGATGGGACAGCACCTCTGGGGAGACAGAGCAGAAGGCTTTGCTGTTTTCTATCCATGCATTTAAATTACAATTTGAATTCTCAAAACGAAGGGGCCAGAGGGTTCTAATGTGCTCAGAAGTGTAACAATCAGCACTATCCATGCATTTAAATTACAATTTGAATTCTCAAAATGAAGGGGCCGCGGGTTCTAATGTGCTCAGAAGTGTAGCAATCAGCAATAGTCATATTGTCAGGTTACGTATGATTCATAATGATGCTAAAATGATTTCCATTGACTTGGAAGGAAGCACTGAAAGGGAGCAACATACTTTTAATTAAAAGGTATTTATGTAAAGCACCATATACATTTTTTGAAATAAAAGTATTTAATAGTAAATCATATATAAAATGACCAATTTCAAAAGAAGCAAACAAAAAGTATCATATATGTTCCGATTTTCCCAAAAGTATAGTTCTGTTGTTTATTAGGGTCGTATTTGACTAAGTGTCTCTGGAAATCTGAATCACTTCATTTGGAAGGAATAGTCACACAAAGTGATAAAAAGAGAAAATATCTCCTGAAGCTAAATCCCACTTTTTCACCAAAATAGTTAAACACCTCTCTCTCTTTCAGTTTATTGTTCAGAATTTCAAAAGCTGGAGATGCATGGATATTAAGAATGTTCCCTTGTAGTCTTAATTCTAGCTCACATACGGGCTAACAATCAAGTCATGTTATTTAATCCTCTACCTTTAGTCTTCTCATCACTGAAATAGGGTCACAATGTAGGCACTATTGAAATGCTTAAATGGGGATGTGTGTGAAAGATCAGACAAAGTGGGTGAGAACAGTCAGTTACTGCCTCTAATCCCTTACCTCCCATCTGGTGGTCTTTTGAATCTGTCAGACAACTGTAAAACTCTATTTTGTGTGACTTCCTCAATAAATCACCAACATTGGAAAATAACCTCTTTGTTATTCAAGTCCTTATTAATCCTGCCAGGACATATCAATTATATTCTTGCCCCTCCAAGACCCTCTCATTGACACCTCTTTTCCCTGTGTCTTTACCTTTGTAAATTAGAACCACCATCCTCCAAATTGGCCATTATCTCTCTATTCCTTCCTCTGTCCTCATTTCCACATCTAAACATTTACCTCCTCACTTTTTCTCTTCTAGCCCTTTTATTCTCTTCTCTATCATGACCAGTATTTGGATTTTCATCATTTCTCTCCTGAAGTTGGCAGGGGTCTCTTAGAAGATATCCCCTATCATCCTACTGTAACCAGAATTATCTTCTTATAGAACAGATCAAATTATGTCACTCCTGTCCCTCAACAAAAGCTCTTCTGGCTCTCATTGCATATGAAATAAAGATTTCTAAGCACAATTTCCATGGTCTCCAAAGCCTGGCCCTAGCCTAACTCTCCATCCTGTGCTAGTATTTTTCTCCTACCATCTTTCATTTCCACCAAATAAGCTGTCCCTCTCTCCTGCCTTCTCCTTTTCTGGAATGGCTTTCCTTTTGTGGATAGCTCATCCTATTTTAAAGGCTCAAATCAAATGTGAAGATTTGGGGATTCAAGCAGACTCTAGGATTTCTTGTGCCTTACTTTAAACATTCTTTTTGTACCTCTAAGGTATTTCCCCTTATCTCTGTTATTCTATCATGTACTTATGTCTCCCTACAGCACTATAAGCTCTTTAGTGCAGGACCTTGTCTGTGTACCCACTCTGACCCTCAGAACCTGGTCCTTTAATTTAAAGATGGAAAACATTATTTTTGGAGTGAAGGAAAAGGCCTTAGCATGAACAGTTGAGCTTAAGCATGAGTATTGTCACCTCCACTTATGTCCAACTCTGCCCAAATTTCATTACTGCGCTGCTAAAGGCAGGGCCATGCTCAGTCATATGGGTCATTTATTCATGGGCTCCGTTATTTTCTCACAGTACATCATAATCTAAGGGATTTTCAAAGAATTTTCAGAGGTGTTATACTAATTAAAAAGTTTTTGACACATTTCTGCTTTTGAACATTTTTTAATGTATTGGTTCCACCACTAAGTAATTAATTCACTGCTTACTTTTTAGAGAAATTTGAATCCACTAAAGGCACTATATTCCCATTTAAATAATTTAAATAATTTGAAAGTAGAAACAATATAACCTCCATAAGAGTAGGACCTATGTCAGTTTTGCTTGCTACTACAAGTAAAAGAGTATATTTTCAAAGAGAAATAAACTTTTGAGCCTTATTGTGTAATATCACGTTTTTTAAAACCTTAAGAGTTTAGTTGCATTGTGGAATTATACAATTATGATTTTCCACACATGGGGGGACTTGGAGTGAGGGAAATGGAAAAACCATGGAAATTGTTTAGTATAGAAACTAATAACCTTTTCTTAAAGGTTGAAAGTATTCTAGATCCCCCCTTTTCCCCCATTGATCCCCTCCACCTCACCCCCAGCAGGCCTTCACCACATTATTGTCTATATCCATGGGTTAGGCATATATGCATATAAATTCTTGGGTTAATCTCTTCCTGTCCCCCTCCCTTTAAAGAATATGATGAGAAACATTATAGACTTGCCCTCACATATAAACATAAGCCTTTGCATATAATTTCAAATGAAGGACTTGTGGACCCCAGGTTGGGAATCCAAATATTTCATCAAAAACAGTTGACCAACAATGACATCAGAAACTAGGAGGGGATGGAATTAAAAAGGTAGAATGACAAGAATAAGAACTTGCTCTTTAGGGGGTCACTCTTAAGGGAACTAGGAAGCTGGGCACTGCTTGCTGGGATTGAACCTCTGCCTGCTCCTGGGTGTGATGTGAGTGTGAGTCAGCTCCATCTTAAAGGTCCAAGAGTTGAAAATAAAAGCACATCTTCCCATGACCCTGTCCGGAGGAAGAACATGCTTCCTCTGTGGTACCAAGGGGAGGACAGTGACCCTTATTCAGCCATAGCTATTTCCAAGGAGCCATGGATCCACTGTCTTGGGTCCACAAAGTCAATTGCTGGGTTAGAGGGTAGAGAATGAGTTTCAGGAAACTGTTTTCAGCAGTGAATCGTAAAGAAGTCACACATAGAGGGGGAAGATGGAACCAGAAAACCCAGAGGCTAATGGTATCTGTTAATTTTAAGGGTCATGGTCGCAGTCCTTATTCATTCATTCATTCATTCATTCTTTCCTTCAACTAGTGCTTTTATTGTGCAACTATTCTGAATCAGAATTGTGCTAGGGCTTCGTATGTAGCAGCAAGCAAAACAGACATAGGTCTTACTCTGATGGCACTTGCAATCAATTAAGGGAGACAGATGACAGACAAGTTTGGCCTGTTTTATTTGTGTGTGTTTTTTTAAAGCCAAATATATAGCCATAGAATTTGTTAAGGGTCATGAAGGATGCGATCAGAAGTCAGCAATAGTAGGTAATATGCTGGTGCAGAGGAGGAGGACGTACGTCCTAAGCAGAATGCAGGGAAGGCTTTCAGAATGCAGGTAGTTGACACTAAACTGAAACCTGAAGGATGAGAAGAAACTGTCCCCAAGATGCAAGGTGGGGATCAGGGAGAGAGTGTGCAAAGGCCCCACGCAAGAAAAGGCTTGATGTAGGTGAAGAGCGAAAAAACGCCAGGATGGCTTAGGGTGGATTGGGACTATGGTGAAATTGGAAAGGGAGGCTTGTCAGCAATGGAAAGGAGCTGGGATTTTATCTGAAGTAAATTGTATTTACAAAGTGATTAAAGAGTTTTCAGCAGGAAAGAAAGATAGATGAATTTGTGTTTTTAATGACCACTTGGGCTATTCTGTAGAGAAAAATGCTAGACTGGAGGTAGGACATAAGATATAGGAGAAGGGGTTACTAGGAGACTATGATATTAATCTCCTTGTATGGAGGATGGTAGAGCATGGGTGGAGGGGAGGGAAGAGCTTGCGTGATAGCATGCATGCAAAAACAACAGAGGCTGGTGACCGCTTGAACATGGGGGTGAGGAGCCGAGAATGATAGCCAGGTGTGATGCTTTGAAGATCAGCGGGTGATGGTGTCTGTCTTTGTCCTTTGGGGCTTGCTATACGAAGTACCACAGACTGGGTGGCTTATAAACAGCAGAAAATTACTGCTCACGGTGTGGTGACTCGAAGTCCAAGAACTTGGTGCTACCATAATCAGAATGCGGGCCTTCTTTCAGGTTACAAACTTCTCATATCCTCACATGTAAGAGACAAGAGCACTAATCTCAGACAAGAGTTCTCTGCCTTCATGACCTAATCACATCCTCAAGCCCCCACCTCCTAACACCATTACATTGGGCTTTGGGATTCCAACATGCAAAAGAAATTTAAAAGTTAAATATTGTTTTTAAAATTGCTCTCTAAATCTTCCCAGATTTATGCTGCATTGCTTCAAGGCATTTTTTAAAAATTCTTTGAAGCATGCATGCAATTGAATTAATCTTGGTTATGGTATTTATAGTATTTGAATATTTGAATGTCAGAAAAGCCAATTACAAAGTTCATTTGATCAAAATAAACGCTATTTATCCATAGACTTATTGGAATAATTTGCCAGGTTAGAGTTGGAGATTGTGGAAAAGGGTCAGAATGTATAAACTGCAATCAAACAGAGAGAAATGTAGGCCTGTGCTCGGACCACCCGGAGACTCTCGCGTGTTCTGGAGGTCAGACTCTCTTGGTGCCCAGCGTGCCTTACATGTTTTCCATCAGGCATAAGGCTCCTCACTCTCTTTCCATGACCTCCAAGATGTCCTGAGCCCACCACAGTCCTTCAGCCGCTCTCCTAGTCCAGCTCCACTCCCGATGGCCATGGCTCTTCAAGGACCTAACTTTGTTGTGTTCCTTAGCTTCTGTCCCTGTGAGTCTGGGGAGAGGGGATTCCTTGTAGAGCAGTGATGGCAAACCTTTTGAGCTCGGCGTGTCAGCATTTTGAAAAACCCTAACTTAACTCTGGTGCCGTGTCACATATAGAAATTTTTTGATATTTGCAACCATAGTAAAACAAAGACTTATATTTTTGATATTTATTTTATATATTTAAATGCCATTTAACAAAGAAAAATCAACCAAAAAAAATGAGTTCGCGTGTCACCTCTGACACGCGTGTCATAGGTTCGCCATCACTGTTGTAGAGTATCCTGGGAACCTGCAATACGAACTTTAAATACCAAGAATACTAGTATATTTGACACTAATTAGGACATCGCTGTTCAGCCACATTGGAAGAGAGAGAAAAAGGGATCAGAAAAGGATTCATTCCTTGGCTTCTGAGTTGTGGTTTAACTCTTTTCTTTTCCACATTATTTTAGGGAGAAAATCCATTACATTCGGACTGAGGGTAATAATGGGCTGGAAAAGTTGTCCTGTGATGCAGATCTAGTTATTTTGCTGAGGTAAGAGGCTAAGCCTGGAGCAATTCTGGAAAAGCATCTGGAAAAGCTGCCCTGGGCAGTTCTTCACTACGCCCGGCTGGAACACTCACCATTTGCTCTAAGTTTCTAGTGACCAGGGCTGAAAAGGGCCCCCATCCATGGCCTTCTTTACATTTACAGTTCAGGTAGCAAGAGCTGAATATAGTACTTGATAGAGACTTCGTTGTAGTATTAATTAGGGTTTAAAGTAACACAGAAAAAAAAATAACACAGAATTTGCGTGCTGGGATGTGCCTATCTCTTTTTTTTCTTTATTGATTAAGGCAGGAGTCCTCAAACTACGGCCCGCGGGCCACATGCAAACACAAATATTGTATTTGTTCCCGTTTTGTTTTTTTACTTCAAAATAAGATATGTGCAGTGTGCATAGGACTTTGTTCATAGTTTTTTTTAAACTATAGTCTGGCCCTCCCAACGGTCTGAGGGACAGTGAACTGGCCCCCTGTTTAAAAAGTTTGAGGACCCCTGGATTAAGGTATTACATATGTGTCCTTATCCCCCTGTTGTGCCTATCTTTTAAATACTATGTAGTATGCTGAATGTGAGTGTTTTTGTTGCTTTGTGAGGACTGTAACTGCTATTATACTGATTCATGAGTACTCTCTCATGGACAGAGAATAAACTCTTTTTTTTTCTTTGCAGTCTCTTTGAAGAAGAGATTATGTCCTACATCCCCCTGCAAGCTGCCTTCCACCCAGGGTACAGCTTCTCTCCTCGCTGTTCACCCTGCTCCTCACCTCAGAACTCCCCAGGTAACTTGAGAGGCTGGCAGGGTATCTCCTCTAAGTGGCCACCTGTGCTTCTACCAGATGATGGTGAAAGAAGGACGGTTGTATGCTTGCCTGTCTGTCTGCCACCTGTTTTTGTAATGCCCCGAGACTTGAATGCATTTTACATTTCAAATGGTTTGAATTTTTTATTTTTTTATTTTTTATTTTTTTGCAAAACCAGGATTTCATGACATGTATAAATTATGTGAAATTCAAATTTCAATGCCTATAAATAAAATTTTAGTGGAACCCAATCATACTGGTTTAAGTATTTTTAATGGCAACAGCAGGTGTGAGCAGTAGTGACAGAGACCACATGGCCCCAAAACCCTAAATGATTTACTATCTGTCTGCCAGACCCCTGCTCTAAATTTCTATTACATTCCAAATGCATTCTATAAGAACTTAAAAGGAGCATCAACCTATGAACCAGGAGGTCACGGTCCGATTCCTGGTCAGGGCATATACCTGGGTTGCAGGCTTCATCCCCAGTGTGGTGCAAGAGGCAGCCGATCAATGATTCTCTCCCACCATTGATATTTCTATCTCTCTCTTCCTCTCCTTTCCTCTCTGAAATCAATTAAAGTATATATTTTTTAATTTAAAAGGGAAGAGCCCTTTATGAAACCTTCATCCTTATGACTCAGAATGTTAGTAGATATCAATTTTGGCAACTTTTCTCATGTTGTAAAGAAGTTACTAGGATATATAAAGAAGATACTAGGTTAGTAGGGACCACCATACATCCCCAGGGAGATGCCAAAAAGTTTTCTTACATGGTATGAAATGGTTCCCCTGAAGTTTTCTTTATGTATTAGAATGATTTACTCATGATACAAAAAATCTTTGTCGATATTTTTCATTCCCAATGAGGAAATATATATTAGACTGTTTATTGAAAAAGGAAGATACTATTTTCTATGTTCATCGCAACAATTAAGTAAAAACCATACCCCCAAACATAATCAGATATTGGAGACTTTCCCCCATTTGTTAGTTAGCATTATCACATTGTTGCAGGTATCAGGGGTAACCCAATTTTTATATAACTTTAAAAGTAAAGGAAGTTAGTTTGAAATATCTGGTAACTTTTTATCTCACAACCTCTATAAATAAAATTTTAGTGGAACCCAATCATACTGGTTTAAGTATTTTTAATGGCAACAGCAGGTGTGAGCAGTAGTGACAGAGACCACATGGCCCCAAAACCCTAAATGATTTACTATCTGTCTGCCAGACCCCTGCTCTAAATTTCTATTACATTCCAAATGCATTCTATAAGAACTTAAAAGGGGCCCAGCCAGTGTAGCTCAGTTGTTGAGCATCAACCTATGAGCCAGCAGGTCACTGTCCGATTCCTGGTCAGGGCATATACCTGGGTTGCAGGCTCCATCCCCAGTGTGGTGCAAGAGGCAGCCGATCAATGATTCTCTCTCACCATTGATATTTCTATCTCTCTCTTCCTCTCCTTTCCTCTCTGAAATCAATTAAAGTATATATTTTTTAATTTAAAAGGGAAGAGCCCTTTATGAAACCTTCATCCTTATGACTCAGAATGTTAGTAGATATCAATTTTGGCAACTTTTCTCATGTTGTAAAGAAGTTACTAGGATATATGGTTAGTAGGGACCACCATATGTCCCCAGGAAGATGCCAAAGAGTTTTCTTACATGGTATGAAATGGTTCCCCTGAAGTTTTCTTTATGTATTAGAATGATTTACTCATGATACAAAAAATCTTTGTCGATATTTTTCATTCCCAATGAGGAAATATATATTAGACTGTTTATTGAAAAAGGAAGATACTATTTTCTATGTTCATCACAACAATTAAGTAAAAACCATACCCCCAAACATGACCAGATATTGGAGACTTTCCCCCCATTTGTTAGTTAGCATTATCACATTGTTGCGGGTATCAGGGGTAACCCAATTTTTATATAACTTTAAAGTAAAGGAAGTTAGTTTGAAAAATCTGGTAACTTTTTATCTCACAACCTCAAGAGTCAGAGTCCAAGTTTGGCTTCTGAAGTGGATGGAGAAATTCAGAAGAGAAACAGAATTTAGCAAAATGCTCTGTCCCTCAAAAAGGGTGTGACAGTATCACTCAATGCTGCTATAGTCGCTCAAACTAGAATGGTTTTTAGTTTGGCTCCTCCAAGTCATGTCACTTGAAACTCTCTTAGAGGTGTTTTTGTTCACTGTTAAACTCGGTTTTTAAGTCAGTATCTCTCTGTTGTTACTTCCTCCAAACAAGTGTACAATGACATTGTTGAAGAAATGCCTAATGCAGTGATGGCGAACCTTTTGAGCTCGGCGTGTCAGCATTTTGAAAAACCCTAACTTAACTCTGGTGCCGTGTCACATATAGAAATTTTTTGATATTTGCAACCATAGTTAAACAAAGACTTATATTTTTGATATTTATTTTATATATTTAAATGCCATTTAACAAAGAAAAATCAACCAAAAAAATGAGTTCACGTGTCATAAGTTCGCCATCACTGGCCTAATGCTGCTACCCCTGACTTACAATGTAATTGAGGTGCCATGACCTGGGGAAGGTGGAGCAGAGCTTTGTCAGAGCCAGAAAGTTCGTCTTCAGTGTGCACAAGGTGACTTACTTTTGGGGAGCAGAGCCTTCCATTGGGAGAATCTGTTGGTCTAGATCAGTGGTCGGAAAACTGCGGCTCACGAGCCACAGTTTGCCAACCACTGGTCTAGATGATCTGCCATTTTGTTGTAGAGATTGTCCCAGTCTTGTAACCTGTCTACACTTTGGTCCAAACTTTGGCAATTGGAGTGTGATTTTAACATCACTATATGTGAGAGATACCATATTGGAAATGGAAAAAGAAGAGACAGTAAAGAGTGATTTGCTAAATGAGATATATTTGGATAACTTTTATAAAAAGACTCAACTTTCCTGATACAGATATTACTGATGCCATGAGTCCAAGCACTCATCCAGTTCATTTTTTCAGAGTACTTCATTATTTATCCTCTTGGCTTTGACGATGGGGTCCTAGATTATGTAATCCAAATATAGTGATATTAAGTTTTAAAATTCCCATTTTCTAGACTTTTATGAAATTTACCTGGATGCTACAGAGATTCAGAATCATAGATATTTATGCCAACGTACTTTGCAAAATGCATGACCATGGGGATAGTGGTAGTACCAGCAATAATAAAAGATATTTGTCTTTCTCTGACTGGCTTATTTCACTTAGCATATTAATCTCCAGGTACCTCCATGCTATCTCAAAGGGTAATAGATCCTTCAATTTTAGAGAAATACAACATATGCCTCATTAGAGTTACAACCACTTCTTATAATATAGTGACTTGCAAAAAAAGTTTAATCTAGTTTTGTTTATGTTGTTTTAGATTATTTAAGTGCAATTAAGCCAAGAAACATGCTCATCAAAGAATTTATAAGAGAAATATAACTTGAAATGTAGTGGAAGACATAAATATTTCTTGTCAGCAGAATTTTTTCTGCATTATATTATTTCTACTTTTTGTAAAAGTAATTGAAGGAATAATGGAAATTAAGGGAAACTTCTTGGAGAAAAAAAATATGAAGACACATGAATATGCCTCTG